CTACCCAGCTGTGATCTTGACGCAATACACACGCCTGCAGTGTGATCTCATTAGGAAAGGGTTAATAGTGGGCAAGACAATTATATCTGCATTGCAGAGCGTTCTTTATAATAATACCGGAATAAAGAATTTTAAAAATGTGCAGACAAAAATACATAAGTGTGATGCATATATGTGTTTTTGATTATTAATAGTGCGATGAACAATTTTTTTTGAAGGCCGCTTTTCAAATGTTCAGGACAATATCAAGATTGTGAAATGATGAAATAGATTCTTGAGAACTTGAAATGATATACACAAGATGTAAACAGTTTCCGTGTAAACTTAAAGGGTTATTAAACCCTCAGCGTGTTTTTGCATATATCTAGTGCTAGCAAGCAGCAGATATATGCAAAAACATGAAAACAAAACCTTTTCAAACAGGTTTAAACTTACCTGTGTCTCGGCTGCACGCTCCCGTCCGAACACCTGAAGAGCCTCGGGCGGCTGCAAAGGATCCTGGGGGCAGGCGCATGCGCACTTCAGATGTTCAGCCGGGAGACGAGGAGAGACACAAGGTAAGTATATGGAGCAGTGTGCACCTGCACAGACTCCGTGGGACGTCAGAGGAGGACAGAGGAGTCAGCGTTGGATCGGAGACCCTCAGCAGCGCTGAAGGGACAGCATTGTGGGGAGGGAAAAAAAATCCTTTAATGTCACTTTAAATGTACTGAATGCTCTGTAAGGGCTCAGGTACACAGCCATAAAAAATGCTACATTTTTATAAGTACAGTGGGTCTTGTTTAAAGGATCTGAAAGCAGGTGCAGTGTTTGTAATGGGCCCATGTACACAGTGCAAAAAAGATCAGTAACCTTGAACTAGACATGTGCGATTCGTTTCATTCTAAATCAAAATTTGTACGAATTTTATGAAATTTGCACATTCAGACACATCCAAATCCCAATGTGTCAAATTCGAATTTTTGTTTATGAATTTCAGTTTAATGCATCCGAATGGGTCTGAACATGAATTTTCGTTATGGCAACATGGGAGCCATATACAGTATATACATATAATACTAAGGCTGGGCACACACCTTACAACCATCGCAAGACTTTTGTCTTGCGATGGTTGTAAGGTACTTTAAAAAATGTACGATCTGCCTATCTTGCATAGGCAGATTGTACTTGCGATAATTGCATGCCACGCCCCCTGAGGGGCGAGCTTCCGATGACCGCAATGCCGAACAGGCAGTGTGCGCTTGCGCACACCGGCCCGTACGGCTTTTATCGTACGAACAGGCCACAAACCCGCCGAACATCGTACGATGCTCGGCGGGTTTTCGAACATGTCCGTAAGTTAAAAGTCGTGCGACCTTACAGTAGTAGAGGTCGCGCGGCTTCCACACACCTTACGATAATCGTACGATCGCGGGATTTCCCGCGATTATCGTACGATTATCGTAAGGTGTGTGGGGACCTTAAAGCTGAGGCTCCTAGACCTGAATGACATTCGGGATCTGAATTTCCAAATTGCATTGCGGAGCTTCCGAATGCCATTCGGGTCTGGGAGCCATATATATAAAGCTGAGGCTCCCAGACCCCAATGCAATTTGGAAATGTGGATCCCGAATGCCATTCGGGTCTAGGAGAATCAGCTGTAGGCCCCATTCACACTGAGCGATTTATCGCGCGGTAATTCCCGCGATGTCGCGGCTATTTACAGCGCGATATCGCTCTCCAATGCATGGCAATGGGGCTCTGTCCGTCGCTGTCGCGGGTGGTGCGTGGCTACAGCAGGACCCTTTTTGGAGCGGATTTTGCCGCGATTCTAGCTTGCTCAATGCAAGCATTTGTGCGATATCGCGCGACAAAAGCGCGATTTGCGAATCGCTCAGTGTGAATGGGGCCTTAGTATTAATATCTGTATATGGTTTTCTGTGGTATTCGCCACGAATATTCGTAAACTCATCCGAAACTAACAAAAATTGGGATTTAGTCCTAATCCGAAACCCGAACTGAATTGAATTTCGGATCCCAATCCCAAAATAACGAAATATCCGAACCAAACTGAATTTTTATGCAGCTTACATGTCTACCTTGCACTATGCTCAGATCTGTAAATCAAGACAATTCACACCAATTCATTCTGCTGGTGTGCGCTTAAAAAAAGTACAGCATGCAGTACTTTTTTAAGTGCACCGCAGTGAGCTCATAGAAGTAAAGTTCTAAAAGTTAAAAAAAAGTGCCGAGCGATCAAGCGCATCGACACTGTACAGGCACATGCATACCAACAGACATGCGTTTGAGTGCGACTGCTGGTGTGAACAAGTCCTTAAAAAGGACCTTTACCCATATCTTTAAAATAACAACAAACACACCTTTAGAAATGTTTAGTAATGACAATCTACAAACAAATACTTCTAGATAATTGCAGGCTTTGTATTTTTTACATAACTTATTTTTCTTTTCCTCCCCATGTTTCTCACGGTGGCCATTTTTACTAAGAGCAGGTTACTAGATCTCCCTTTACTTCCTTGAACTCTGGCACATGTGACTAGGACATGTGACCACGCACATCATTTCAGGGTAGAAAAATGCCTTTTCCTGAGATCTCATGAGATTATGTGAGAAGGTGCTGATGTAACCTTCCCAGGATGCAACGCTTGGGCACGATTACATCATTTGTGCCAAAGTGGACCAGGAAGTGGAAAAAATAAATTGTAAGTAAAATAAAAATATGTTTGTTTAACTAATGAATGTAAGATGGTTTCATATCAGTATGCAGAGCTGTGTGCTGATGTCATTTTTAGACAAAGTGGGTAAAGGTCTACTTTAAGAAGTGCTCAGGAGAACTTTTAGAATGTGCGACAGTTTGGAGGTCTTGTAATGTCGCAAATGCTGGACGCAGTGGCATCACAAGGGGGGTGCGGCCCGCACCCAGGGTGACACAATTGGAGGGGTGAACGTCCCCTCCTCTCTCTGCCGGTGCCCATCACTAAGATAGCCGCTGGCAAGTATAAAAAAAAAGATGACCACGCGCGCGCGTGGTGATGTCACGCACATGCGTGATGACGTCATGGCGGGGTATCACCCCGTATCTGCTCTGGGTGACACACCTGGCCTCGGGACGCCCTTGGCTGGACCCAATTACTGCACAGCTGAGAAACTATGTGAAATGTCGCAAAGCATGTGCAGTGAGTCGCAAACATTAATACGTCGCAAGAACACTTCAAAAAAGAGCCATAACAGGGATAAAACCTTGCGGTTAGGTAGCAGGAGGTCTTGGCCTTTGCGGCTAAAATTTGTTTGCAAACACGTTCATAAATTCCCCCCATTGTAAACCTGTCGCAGAGACTTTGCCTCCTGTGAAGGAAATCTGTCTCATTATCTGTCTCACTGCTCCTGTGTGGCATTATCTCCCCGTGTGACACAACAGATAAATGTCCCCGATGATGTACTATGGTCACATGTTAGGCAAAATCATTTCATTTTTTTCCTTTTTATTAATATATGAAGGGAAATAAAAAAGAGCTTCTAGAACATTGTCAGGGTTATTCACTAAGCTGCCAAAAGTGCAGAAGGACACAGAGAAGTGAGAAGGAAACAGAGAAGCTGATTGGTTGCCATCGGCAACTGCTCCAGATTCTGTCTCTGCTCCAGTTTTTAGGAAGGCTTCATTTGGGATTTTATATCTATTTATAAAAGCCGAAGTGCAGAAGGACTTTGACTTAGCCGATCCAACATCTGAATCGGCTGAGCCGAAGCTTCGGGAGCTCACTCGCTGCCGTTCGCCCCTAATCTCATAGGGGCTGAACGGCAGTAAGTCAGTAGCCGAATGCCGCTGAGGTAGCGAGTAGAATAGCAAAACAGTTAAATGAATGAAAGGTTGAAAGTGGGACTGAACCGAAGGGCAGAGGCGGCCGAATGGCAGTAAATGATTAGCTGCTGGGCGCCATTCGGCTCAGCTATTCTGCTCGGTACTTCCGTGGTAGCGAGCAGAATAGCAAACAGTGAAAAAAGTTGGAAAAAAAAAAAGTTGAAAAAAATGTTTAAAAATGTAAATAAATAATACCTTTTTAAAAATAAATAAAGATTTAAAAAAATAAAAACAAAATTACAAATAAAAACAATTGGGCAGAGCTAGCAGTGACAGCTAGCTCCACCCAACTGTTTCCTATTGGCCGGCACCCGCCAGAGTCTTCTAGCAGGTCCCGGCCAATGAATAACAACTGGGCGGAGCCGGCCGTGACGTTGCAGTCGGCTCAGCCCAATTGTTATTGTTTAATAACAGATCAGTGTCCCCAGGTCATTTGGGGACGCTGATCTGTCATTACAACTCCGCCCAGCTGTAATTTGGGAGGCGTACCGGCCGTTCGCCCCGCTTCGGCTGCCACTACGGCACAGTCGAGCTGAAGCATATGCCTTCGGCTCTTCTGCGCGGTTCGGCCACCTTCGGGAGCTGTACGGCCTATAGTGAATAGCCCATACAGCAGCCCTTCGGTTCGACTGAACCGAAGGGCTCCCGCAACCGAAGCTAGCCGAAGGATCAGCCAAAGCTTCGGCTGATCCTTCGGCTAACAGGTTTTTAAAGCGTGTAGTGGGAGCAGACTCCTCCCAAAAATACAGGCTAACTAGTTAGCCTTCTAACTTATATATAAATCCAAAGTGGGTTTGGCAGCACAGGTCTTGCAGGTAAACCCAAGTTCCGGCTTGAAAAAAATAGACTGACATTGGTTGCCAATAAAATGCTGTCGCTTTGACTTATCTCCGCTACAAGACCGATAAGTGACCCAATATTTACTTTGGATTTCTATGGATATGTCTTTCTGGATGAATGCCTGGGCATTTACCTCATAGAGGGGGACTTCATACAAACTGGAGCAGAGGCAGAATCTGGAGCAGTTGCCAATAGCAACCAATCAGCTTCTATCTTAATTTTACTCAGTCAAGCTTTAAAAATGAAAACAGAGAAGCTGATTGGTTGCCATGGGCAACTGCTCCAGATAATCTGGCGGCCGCTGTCCCGCATTGCTCTACCTTCCCCGCTGTACCAGCAGCCTGTCACCCGCTGGCCGCCAGCCCCGGGCCACCTAATCCCTGCAAGATGGCGGCGGGCAAGAGCCTGGAGACCGTCACCGAGCACGAGAGGATCCTGCAGGAGATCGAGAGCACGGACACGGCGTGTGTGGGGCCTACCCTGCGGTAAGATGCCGGACAGGGAGGAGGGGAGGGGGTTCAGGTGGGCTGGTAGTCGGATTTCCTCCTTTGTCCCTTGGTGTCCCCTCCCACCCCGGCCCTGATGGGGACACCGGTGACACGGGGCTCCGTCCATTGTACATCAGTGTGCGGCTCCTGCCAGCACTGTCCTGTCATTGTCATTGTTTACTCCTGTCATTGCATTGTAGGCCGGAACCGGGCAAAGTCCGCTTCTAACAGTCCCGGGGACCACTGCTGGAACTTGTAGTCCTACAGCTTCCCAGGTCTCAGGTGCTGTGTGGCAGGTCTTGCTATTGCCATGGCAGCGCCATTTACTAGTATTTGTGTTGTCTTTATTAATAGGCTGTCAGAGGAGGATGCTGGTACATCATGTGATCCTTTAGTGATGAATTGTAAGCTCTGTGGTCCAGTTGCATGGACTATAGTGATGAATTGTAAGCTCTGTGGTCCAGTTACGTGGACTATAGTGATGAATTGTAAGCTCTGTGGTCCAGTTACATGGACTATGGTGATGAATTGTAAGCTCTGGGGTCCTGTTCCATGGACTATAGTGATTCATTGTAAGCTCTGTGGTCCTCCCACATGGACTATAGTGATGAATTGTAAGCCCTGGGGTCCAGTTCCATGGGCTATAGTAATGAATTGTAAGCTCTGGGGTCCAGTTACATGGACTATGGTGATGAATTGTAAGCTCTGTGGTCCAGTTCCATGGACTATAGTGATTAATTGTAAGCTCTGTGGTCCTCCCACATGGACTATAGTGATGAATTGTAAGCTCCGGGGTCCAGTTCCATGGGCTATAGTGATGAATTGTAAGCTCTGGGGTCCAGTTCCATGGACTATGGTGATGAATTGTAAGCTCTGTGGTCCTGTTCCATGGACTATGGTGATGAATTGTAAGCTCTGTGGTCCTGTTCCATGGACTATAGTGATTAATTGTAAGCTCTGTGTTCCTCCCACATGGACTATAGTGATGAATTGTAAGCTCCGGGGTCCAGTTCCATGGGCTATAGTGATGAATTGTAAGCTCTGGGGTCCAGTTCCATGGACTATAGTGATGAATTTAAGATTTACCCTCACCTCTTATCCTGGGGACATAATTTGGGGAATAATTTGCACTTCCCCTTACTTTCTCGGTGAGAGTGGTCACCAGGAGAAATAAAGGGGTGACTCTCCACAATGGGGACACAGACAGCCATACAACCTGACAGTGGGACAGATTCTTCCGCCATAAGGATTATGTAAAGTTATGTATTTCCTGGTACCTGAGGCAGAAATGAGCCAGGGAGCCCCACTGCAAGGGTAGTCTTTTGGTTTCCCCCGGAGCTCAGCTTTAACAATTCGCAGATTTCCTTTCATTTTGTAACCAGCAGTACTTTGCAGGCAACAACTTTATTTTTTTCTCTAATTTCTGTTACAGCAATAATAATATTATTATTCTTTTGCTGTTATTTAATATTATTATTATTATTATTATTGTTGCTGTTATTATTATTCTTTGGTATGGCAGAGTTATTACATAACACACACGTTTTGTCTTTGTGAACATCTTGCCCCTCCGTATAGCGTCCATATGTATAATGAGGTTATAAAGAATTATTCGGAATTGCACATAGAACATATAATGTTATTATGTCATGTCATGAGATTGCTGCTTTGACGTCCTTTGACTAATTCGTATTAAGGTGAAAAGTTCTGATATTCCGATATTCTGGAAGCTGAGCAGTGAAATGACGTACTGGCGGACTGGAGCCTGAAAACCATCAGATTTCTGTGGACTTGTGTACATTGGCTTCTGTCCGCATCAAAATGTCTTGATTCCCCATACAAGTCAATGGAAAGTCTAAGTGCCCATTCACACTGGGCGTTTAATCACGCAATTTCCGCTGCGATATCGCGCATATTTGCCGCGCCATATCGCAAGAAGTCACTGTCCCATGATTTTCAATGGAGCTGTTCTATTGTACAGCTCCATGTCGCCCGTCGCTGTCGCTTGTGCAGGACCATTTTTCCCGCGGATGTCGCGCGATTTTACTATTTTTGCATGCAGCCCGACGTTGAAGGTCGTGCGAACAGTCGCGCTACCCCTGCCGCGCGGATCTGCTCGAGGTAAGTGTCGCTTAGTGTGAATGGGGCCTGAAGCAGTTTGGTAGAGTTTAGAAGGAGGTGAGCGGCAAGTCACAAGAACTTGTATAGGAGCTCAAAAGAATCTCAAACAGATCTCAGGTGCAAGCTGAAAGCGGATCTTCACAAGGAATAATCACTTTGTATCATTGTAACTAGGGATGAGCACGGGTCCAGTCTGGACCCAGAAGGAAGCTGTCAGTGCCGGCTCAATCAGCTGTGGCCACGGTATTGCCCACAGCTGCACGGAAACAATGAAGCGGGATGCTGGTGGCATCATTGACCTTATATGGTCACATGGCCATATAAGGTAATTGTCATTGACCAAATATGATCATGTGACCATAAAGGGTCAGTGATGTCACCAGCATCATACCCCTTGTGTTTACGTGCAGCTGCGAGGGGGGGGTGCCCCGGCTGCAGCTGACTGAGATGGCTCTGACAGCTTCATCCTGGATTCAGATGAACTCAAGTTTGGATCAAACTGGAGCTCATCCCTAATTGTACCCCCTCTCCACAATCTAAAAAAAACCCGCTCACCTGGTTTTTGTTAGTGTGTGTGTTTATTTACGTTTCTTTTTTTTTTTTAGTCTACCCCGCCCCCCGACTCTATTCTAATAATCGAGAGTGCTGTGTATTCCATTCCTGCAGCCTCCTGGGATATCTACGTTACATGTATTCCAAGAGCCATTAGCTTACAGTGGCTGAGCGTCATAAGGGGCCCGGCTAAAGGAACCAGGAAGAGGCAACTAGCTCTTGATGATGTAGAAAAAAAATAAAAAGATGGCGGCATGGGACTGGGAGTGCAGTTCTAGGCCTGAGTCCGAGGGGTACAGTATGTTGGGATTTGTAGTTAAAGCACATCTGGAAGGCCGGAGTTTCCCACCCCTGTATGTAGCTTTAGTATTGATGGCGTAATCGAGTGATTTGTCTTGTTCATCCCACGGCTTTGTAGAAGAATCTTCAGATGTATAGCCAGCCAGAATCCAGAATCATAAATGATATTTGTTGATTGGGAATCTCACAGCATAGACATACAGGTCTGTCACTGCTGACTTGATTTTGAAGGTACATGCTCCAGGGCTGCCACCCTATCCTTGCTTATAGAGAATGACTGACCTATAACAAGCATTGCCGACAGCTGATAAGAACCTGTCTGTTCCAGGTCAGTAACTTGCCAAGTAGTGAGGAAAGGAGAAGAATTGGTGCCCCAGAGCAGGCACCTGCAGAGGCAACTCTGTCAAGCTATCATAGTCCTGTGCTGTCAGGTTCCATTAAAGAAGAACTCCAGGCTACCCCCCGCTCCCCCCGCACTGCAAGGGTTAACTGCTCATTTTGGTCTAGGGAAGAAAATAAAGTTATACTCGACCAATTCTCGCAGCCGGCTGGCTGTGACAACGCTCCCTCCTGCCTCTCTTCTTCTACATGGCAGTGATAGTATGTCCCTCGGTGTCCTCATATCCTATACACAGTATATAGAATGTGATGACTCCAGGATCCGTAGACTGCTGCAGCAGAGGAGGAGAGAGGCTCCAGGGACCGGTCTAAAGGTGCCCATACACTGTGCGATTATCGCACGATAATCGCGGGAAATCCCGCGATCGTACGATAATCGCAAAGTGTATGGAAGGCGTGCGACCGTTTTTACTGTACGGTCGCACGTCTTTTGTCTGAGGAGCATGTTCGATCGTACGATAATCGCAAAGTGTATGGAAGGCGTGCGACCGTTTTTACTGTACGGTCGCACGTCTTTTGTCTGAGGAGCATGTTCGAAAACCAGCCGAAAATCTTACGATTTTCAGCTGGTTTGTGGTATGCTCGGGAGACCGAACGGTGCCCGTTCAGCATTGCGGTCATCGGAAGCCCGCCCCTCAGCGGGGCGGGCTTGTGATCATCGCAAGTACGATCTGCCTGCCCAAGATGGGCAGATCGTACGTTTTTTAAATTACCTTACAACCATCGCAATACTAAGGTCTTGCGATGGTTGTAAAGTGTATGGCCTCCTTATGAACAAGCCTGCTCAAAGGTACAGGTGAGTGTAACTTTGTTCCCTCTCTAGACCAAAATTAGCAGTTAACCCTTGCAGTGCTAGGGTAGCCACACTTAACGGGTTAATAAAAAAATTGTCCAGAGTTTTTCTTTAAAGCGGACCTTTACCCATATCTTTAAAATAACAACAAACACATCTTTATAAATGTTTAGTAATGACAATCTACAAACACATACTTCTAGATACTTGCCGGCTTTGTATTCTTTGCAGAACTTATTTCTCTTTTCTTTCCCAGTCTTCTGACAGTGGCCATGTTTACTAAAGGCAGATTACTAGCTCTCATTTTACTTCCTTGACTTCTAGCACATGTGACTAGACATGTGACTATGTACATCATCTCAGAGGAGGAAAATGCCTTTTCCTGAGATCTCCTGAGATTACAGATGAGATTTCCCAGCAATGCTCTGCTGATGACAAGGCAATCCCAGTGTGCATTGCTTTGGCAAACTGAAGTCATTTTGCCCTTTCAAGCAGGACGTGAATGCTCTGCAAGTATAAGTATTTCCCAATCACAGCATTTTACACCTGACATGCCTATGTTATTATTAATCATCATACATAGGTGCATTGGTAGAATTTGATTTTTGAGTGTAAAGGTCCACTTTAAAGGGCTGAAGGAAGTGAATGATCAGGTCCGTAGACTGTGCAGATCAGTATATTCCTGTATTGGGTACGGCCGGGTGCTTCTGATCAGCCGCGGACAGGAAGTCTGTACAGATCCATGACACGTGCAGGAGCCCTGACAGGCAGCTATCATTTATTTATAGTGAGTAAATAATCAAAGCTGTTGTTGTAAATATGTAACCTTCAC